CTACCCCTTTTGTCTGAGAAGTATGCCGTCGGTTCAAAATTTTCTTCTAAGCAGAAGAGTGGGCTTATTTTATGGTGGTACATCATTAAAAAAATGTGTACACTCCATTGCTAAAAAATAAAATTAAAAAAAATCATGTACAGTATTTCCTGGTTTTGTTGTACTTCACAGGCTGCTTCCTTTCTATTAGTAATTATAGCAAAATCATTGCGGACGGACACGTTCTGAGTTATTTTAGAGTATGCCTGGAAATATATTTAACTTCATCTGGGTCTAGTCTGATATATCTTTCCATAGGTGTGTTATTGGATCCATAAGCTAACATCAATAACTTAGAAGGGGTTTGGCATAACTTGCATGTATTCTGCCAACTGCGGCACACACAGCAAAAAATGTTCAGCGTATGAAAATAATGCTTCGTTTGTTGAGTTTTGCATATGAAGCAGACAGGAAAGGGACCTGGTAACAAGCAGGCCCGCCCTTCCACCAAACGAAGTTGCCAGCTCCGCTTCGCTCCGACGGCAACTCCGTTCGGCACGGGCCGGGCGTGCTTGGCCTGCCGGCGACGCTGGTCGGGCCTGCGACCCGAAGAACATGATCGAATGATGTAGCGGGCCTTCGGCCCGCTTAAACCCGTCATCTTTGAGTTCCCCAAAGACTAAAGAAAGGGATGTAACACGGTGAAGCACCGCGACTACAACCCGCCCTTCTGCTTAGAAAACGTTTTTTGGGGGTGGGGGGAGAGTTTTCTTTATATTTTGCTGCGTGACAGAAATGGTCGGGCCGCGGGCCGCAGGCTCGACCATCGCCGCCGGCAGGCCAAGCAGGTCCGGCCCCTGCCGAACGGAGTTGCCGGCGGAGCGAAGCAGCGTAGCTATTTGTGGGCCAGGCGCGTCGCAGCGTAACAGTGTTTCGTGAGATATCGCGAAGCCTGTTACGCGAGACGTGGTCTGGCGTACATATAGCTAGTTTAATCGCGTACACCTACTTTTAAGAGTGGTTTACCCCTCGCCTCGAACACACGGTTGCGCGAAGACACATGTTTACATTGATAGAAGTTCTTGTCCAGGATCTGGGCGACGGTATTAGGGCACTTCACCTTGATGAAGAACTTCGGAAGTCCAACTTCGAGCTGCAGAGCTTCAACATCTTCAATCTTCAAGTTCAGGTCGCGAGATACAAAACGATAAATTTCAGCGTCCGTAACGGGGACGTGCCTTAAGGGCACACTATTTTTGTGACGTCATAACAGCGATTCGGTGTACTGCCAACCTCTTAAGAAAAAATTCACCGGCGTTTCGTGGGTTCAGAGTGGGGTTGCATTACTTCTTGCGTTTGGTTGCTGGTAAGACTGCTAATCGCTCAGAGGTGTGAAAACTGATCAATGGAAAATGAGAACAACAAAACTAGCTCATGAAGAAAACAATTATATTTTAAGAAAGTGATTAATAAATTTTGTATTCTGTACAAAACCGCCAATTCTAAAATGAAAAAAAATACAACAAAGTCAATTTTTAAATGAAAAAATTACAAAAACGCCAATTTTTAAATTAAAGAAAATAGAACAAAGTCAATTTTTGAAAGAAACAAATATAAAAGCATCATTTCAATCTAAATTATAGTAGACAGCAGCAACAAGAGCCTCTTGCTTCAGACTAGTAACTTTGTCAATTTTGCCCTTCAAAGATGATTTTAAAGGCTGGAGGGTGAGCGTATGGACCTGCAAAGAGGAATGGTGTACTTCAGTAAAGAATTCTATGACAGGAGAAAAGGCAGAGCTAAAACAATCATGGCATGTGACATTACCTGTTTATTCGTCACATACTCCAACATCTTCTTGTTGTCTAGCACAGCTGGGGATGCCTGTACAGCCTTCTGGACTCCTGAGCCAGAGGGGATGTTCTGGTGAACAAGAAAAATACAAATTTCAGGCAGGTTGTTGATTTTGTTCCATGATGTGCTTTAAATACTCACCATTCCAGCAGGTGTAGTGGGAGTGTTACCACTGCTCCAAGCTGCAAACACTTTGGCCCTACAGCTTAGTGGAGTTGGTGGCAATAGGAGAGTGACCGGAACAGCCTGCACATGAGGAGCAGGAATAAATATAAAAAGGTAACACGAGAAGTAAAAAAAATGTGGCACAACACCAAGAGTGACCGTACAAGTGGATGAGCTGGGGTCCTAGCAGGAGTGACCAAAAACACTCCAATAACTCTGGATTGTCCTGCTGGAGTCTGTGAAAGGAACATGAAAGATGACATTTTGACCTAAAGAAAATTAATTCTACTTTCAGCAGTTTAAGTACAAGTACTCACAAGAACAGGAGTTCTCTGACTCCCTCTAGTCCTTGCGGATTTTGGAGTTGATTGATGTGGGGTTGACAGCAAGGCAAAAAAATAAAATGTAGTATAAGACATATTTTTATTTTACAAGGCATCATAAATTATTACTGAATAGCTTTATCAAATCAAAATAGTAATAATACAGAATCTAACGAAGTCAGGTTACCTGGGAGGTCAAACAGTTCTTTATTTGGTGGGAATCGAAAAAGAGGGGTTTCTTCGCTCGCTACAGTGTGGCAGTTGAGTGCAGACAATTTTCGAGTTTTTATTCTTGATTTTTTGGAGGACATGGTGCACTTCGAGCAGAGAACAAAATAATTCAAAATGCAACAACGTATGTCTTGTCACTATGTGGATTGTCGAAAACAGCCGGGCAGCGTCTGCTTGTTTACACCGTGTTACCCTAAAAAGTCCGAAAGTTGCGTCTTCCTGAAATAATCTAGAATTGAGCTAAAAATTCAATTACTAGTACAAATCCACTGTAAAAGTGTTTTCAATTCGTTAACTATGAAGATGTAGGTAGGTGGGTGTTTACGTTCAGAGTAAGTTGTAATCATATGCATCAATTTAGCAGTGTAGGTTGGAGAGCTGAAGCGGGGGTGGAGGGGGGCACGATAGTAAACCGGAACCAGTAGCCCTGCTGCCTGGGACTGGACCCGTCCGCTCCCGACAAGAGCAGGCGGCAGCGACTGAGCTAGCCGGGCTACGTTGACCGTAACCCGATCAAGCGACTACGAGAAGGACTGACAGGCGTGGCGAGTGAGTGGAGGCGAGCGGACCGCCGCCGCCGCTGTCGTCCGTCGCCCGGCACCGGGCCATGCCAAGTCGCGGAGGGTTGGTGCGGCTCACCCAAAAGATCGTGGAGGTGCGGGGTCCGTGCCTCTCGCATGCAAAGCAAACGCTCTACCGTCCGAGCTACAACCCCCCGCCACGCGGGTAGACGAATGACGGGAAACTGCTCGGAAACGGTGGTGGCGCACACTGCGACCCGCAGGAGCGCAAAACGTAAAAGAGTTCCGCAGTCGGTAGCACTCGAACCTTCGCCCCCTGAAGGAAACTGATTCCTACTCAATCGCCTTAACCACTTGGCCACGACTGCACCGGTTGGTTGCCGCTGTGTCAGATGCCCGTACGAAGGGGACGGTGGCGGGGCGCGGAGCACCATCAGCACTGCGGGTGACGGCGAGTGTGCCGAGTCGGCAAAGGCGGTGGCGGAGGGTGCCGACTCGTCTGTGTAGTCTGTTGCGCAGGCGCCGAAGGGGGCCACCAGGTGCGCTCCGATCCAACTGGCGTGTTGCGCGTCTGGATCGTGATGGAGGGGGCGGCCGCGTTCCGGCTCGGGCGGGGGATGTGGGTCGGTCGGTCGTGTGCTGGCGGCGCATGGCGAGGTGTCCGAGAGCGGTGCCAGAGCGTGCGATCTGGTAGCCGTGATCGTATAGTGGTTAGTACTTCGCGTTGTGGCCGCAATAACATAGTTTCCAATCCTGGTCACGGCAGGAAGATGCGCGCTTTTGTTTTCCTTTCTGTTTTTTAGCCCGCTCTTTTGCTTAAATTATATAAACGGGCTAATGCCATCGCCCTTGTGTCTGTCTGTCCGTTCCCCAAGAAGGACGTGAGCTAGAGATTATTGTTGTCACTTCTGGACAACAAAACGATTGGTGCAATTCCTGGCAACCACCCCTGAGTGGGTATGAAGGGGTAACAAAGAAATTGGGGTTGGTCCAAGAAGTGGGATTTTTAGACGATCCAGTCTATACCAGAAGGTTTGACGCGCGGGGGAGCGGTGCGTTAGGGGTTCGTCCCAACTTCCCCCCACCGGCCAACAATCACTACTGTGCGCTAGGCCACTCCCCATCCAGGCGCTCCCAGCCCCACAAACAATATACACTCAACACTCCTCTAAGCCTGGCCTGAAGGTGGCCCAGGCCAGGGCGCAGGGCCGCCGAGGACTCGACTCAAGCGCCGAGCACCTGTGGTTGCTCGGTTTAGCACTCGTCCAAAGCAAGGGCGATCACCACGTCGCCACTCACTCGCCTAACAACTACCTGATCTCGCAAGGGAACTCATAAGAAGTGTTAGTCCCCGATTTTATTCCGCCTTCTGGGTTTTGTAGGGTCAGTGTCAGCAAAGACGGACGACAACAACGTACAAGACCGTGAATTTCAGAACAAAAAGTCGCAACTACTCTAGTTCTAGAGAGCAATAACGTATTTAATTAGTAA